GCCACGACAGCTGCTCGTCCCGTCTCCTGCACTAATGATGGAAGGAAGGAGGAAGAAAAAGCAGCACGACAGACTACTGGGAGCTGCAAGAAGTGATGAGGAATAAAAGCACCTTCCTCCTCCTCTTTACCTCCTCTATGACCTCATCCTCGTCCTCCCTCCCTCCTTCCTCTCTACCTCCTCTCGTCTCTTCCTCCTCTTCCTCTCCTTCCCTCTGGCAATGGCTCCGCCATGCCCGGCCCGCCTATTTCCTTATCCTTTATTGACTGAAAAAGAAGGCAATTTGAACCTGCTGCCCTCGGTGTCTTTTAAGGAGCGATTCTATCAATCGACACTGTCCTTTTATTTGAGTTATATTTGCGGTGAGGGGGGCTCGAAGATCGTTTGGTACTGGAGCTGTCGCCATGGGCAACTCACAGAATTCGAAGCAGCAGCGGTTCCATGGCGGCGGGCAAGCGACAGGATACCGAAGGGTGAGGCATGGAGGGGAGAGAGAGAGAGAGGAAGTGATGAGTGAGGAGAGGGACAGGGATAGGGGCATGGACAGGGACAGGGAAAGGAAGGGAGGAAGGGAATGGTTCTATTCCTCATCACCACTTTCAGCTCCCCCCAGTCTCTCGTTCTGCTTTTCCTTCCTCCTTCCTTCCTAACATTAGTGCAGGAGACGGAACGGCCAGCTAACGTGCCCGCCGCTCCTCCGAACGTTCCCATCCAACAAGTTCCGATAAGACAGGTTCCGCCGAGCAGAGTAGTAGAGAAGCCGCCGAGATTCACAGGAGGAGGAGTCGCGCTGGGGACCAGAGCGACTAACGATGAGCAGAAGGCAATCAATGCTGCGATAGTGGAAGCTCAGGTAGAGTGAAGGAGAGCGCTGTGAAGAGAGAGGGCAAGGAAGGGGAGGATAGGGGAGGAGGAGAGGAGAGGGGAGGAGAGGAGAGGAGAGGAGAGGGACTTTTGTAGTGTATAACATACAGTGACAGATCAAGGAGGTGGAGGCCTTGCTTGCTTTAGTCGCAGACGCTCCAGTCGAGGTGCTGGAACCCGCTCTCGATCTGCTTTACAAGATGTAAAGCAGATCACACACTCATGCTGTGAGGAGGGCTGAGAGTCGTTGCAGCTGTTCGGCCATCGTTGAGAAGCCAAACGAGGCCAAAGTGCGAAAGATCCGATGGAACAACGAGAAAGTTCAGAAACATCTCGGGGGGGTGAGAGGAGGAGGAGGAGGAGGAGGAGGAGGAGGAGGAGGAGGAGGAGGAAGGAGAGATGAGACGGAGGAATGCGGCAGGTGCCGATCGCCATGGACTTTCTAATCGCTTCTGGTTTCTCCATCAAGAAGATGCCGGTGCATCATGTGGGGAGGAGGGAGGAGCAACACTGAGAAGAGGAGGTGCAGGCGGAAAAATCTCCGAGCGAGTTGGAGGAGGTCATCTTGTTTGAGGAGACAGCGTCCCTGAGGCTGCTGGATGAGGTAGGAGGCGGCAAGCATGTGCTGCAGGAGGAGGTTGAAGGACGTGTGGAGGTGCGGAAGAGACTCAAGAAGGCCGTCGATGCCTGTCGGGAGAGGAGGATGTCCATGCCGAACCCGATCCCTTCAGAGAGCTTCGGCTCTGAGTCTGTGAGCCCTGACATTCAACTGTTCCTCCCTCCCTCCCTCCCTCCCTCCCTCCCTCCCTCCCTCCCTCCCTCCCTCCCTCATTTCCCTTCTGCTGCCTGCACCCGTCTGTCCTGCATGTGTTTCTGACTTGTTCATCAGTTCTTGAGCGATTCCTCCAGCAGTCTGCCAGTGTCTGTTGGTGAGGCAACGGCGTTGCTCCTCATCCAGTGACGCACACCAGGCGAAGACGCTGGCCCGGAAGTTCAAGTTCCTCTGCAAGAAGCCGCCGGAGCGAAGATGGTAAGAAGAGCAGCAGAGCGCGCAAGTGGAGGTTTTATGAAGGCTGCAGGAGGAGGACACCAAGGAGGTCTCGTCCGGGCGAGACGTCCAGAGTCTGAGCGATCGGCTGACTTGCATCTACTTGACCGTCCAAGGAGCTGTCAGCTGTCAGCTGCTCGTCGCCCTCCTCTGACCTCTGCGATCAGAACCCGGAGGAACTCCTTCCTGCTCTGGAGATGATGGTGAAGATATGCTCGGGTATCCTTGACCAGGTGAGAGCGGCGGCGGCGGCGGCAGCAGCAGCAGCGCGATAGGTGACGGGGAGCTGGCAGCCGGGGAATGACAAGGTCAGGAGGATCAACTGCAAGAGCGCATCCTTCCAGAAGATCGCCAAGTTTCACTCCCTTTCTCTCATGCTGGAGGCCGTTGGGTTCGAATCTATCTCTGACAACGGCGAGGTGAGAAGGAGGAGGAGGAGACGGACGAGGAGAAGACGAGGAGGAGCAGGAGCAGGTGCAGGAGCAGGAGCAGGAGCAGGAGCAGGAGCAGGAGCAGGAGCAGGAGAAGATGAGGAGGAGGAGGTATTTGACAAGGTCTGCATCGAGCAGGAACTGCTTCGTTTCCCTACCGACGGGTCTCAATTCCAACTTGCGGTGACGTCAATGTCGCTCTGCTCGAGTTCTCACAGGTCAGCAGGAACTGAAGAGCATCCTCCTCCGCGAGCTCCAGACCCTCCGGTCGCCTTCCACGGCTGAAGCGCCCAAGGCCAGGAGAATCGATAGGTGAGAGAGGGGAAGGAAGCAGAGGTGGAGGGAAAGAAAAAGTACAAAGTGACAGAGAATGTTGTTCGTGACGAAATGATGATGATGAGGAGGAGGAGGAGGAGGAAGAGGAGGGATGAGGAAGGTGAATGGGTACGAGGGAGGAGAAGAGGATGAGGATGAGGAAGGAGTCGTTCAAGGAGGAGCTGATAGGTTGAGTGGCAGGGAGCTTCTCGTGTTCAAGAGGAGGGACGATGGACCAGATCCAGGAAGGTTCAACGTGCCGGACTCTTACTTCGAGATGACGTCAGCAGACGTCAAGAGCGCTCAGGTGAGGCGATGGAGGAGGAGGAGGAGGAGGAGGGTGATGCGGCAGCAGAGCTCTGC